TTAATCAAAGCGGGGCAAAATTTTGCGATTAAAGTAAGCGGTATGCGAAATAATCGCTATGTGATGCCATCGTTATGCGGGGGTCCACTGTATTAACGTAATATACGACATTTAAATGAGACTTGATGATTATTATTATCATTACTAATATGACGTCTGGAGACATAAGACACTCTTACTGATTTTAATGTGTACCTGCACGCCAGCACAGTATGTAAGCTTATTTAGGTACAGGTATACATAAGTATAATTATCAGAGTATATATAAAATATGAAATAACTTTTAAAAACATTTGAAATTTTGGAGTTTCCAGACAAAATGGAGAGACTTAGTGCTTACTGAGCTCACAGAGAATGTAAACAAACAGGGTGGGGAGCGGTGACTGTATTAGAAAGTCAGGTGGAGGGAGCCGTATAGCGAGTTTTGGTCATAATTTGAAATGACCTATTAGCGGAACGCCGTAAAGTGAAACGCCGTAAAGCGGGCCCCTGCTGTATAAGATTGGGTAATTAACTCAAGACTAGAACAGTGCAATAATAAGATGAAAAGTTTACAATAAAGTTGGGCACTAAAATATAAAATAAAAATGGGCAATAATAAAAAGGTTACAATAAGGTTGGGCTATAATAGAGATTTTAAAATAAAATTGGGCGATAGAGTATTTTTTAAAGTGAGGTAGAATACTGAGGACAAGCTATGGTTAGTTTCAATTAAAATAAGACAGAACAATGAAGTGGTAAGAAGTAAAAAAGTTGAGAGATTCTGTAGATATTAAACACAATTAAGACTATGAGGTAGAATGGTCATTGAATACAACAGTGACATTCAAAAGTAGTTGGGGCATTGGAAATTTTTGGGGGGGAACAAAATTTATGGCAGTATAACACTAATGGTGGACAGTGGGTATTATCTGTACCTTACTCTGATTCTGTTAATCCATCCTCACTTAGGAAAGTTTTAAGGTCACGTTCTGTAGAGATGAAGTATCTCTTCCCAGTGGGCTGTTTCCTAAATGCAATTTTTCCATCCCTCACAAAGCACTGGTGGATTTTTTGGGCATAGCATAATTTTCTTAGCTGATAAAGGAGGTTTTGTCTTGTTTGGGAAAGGCACTCACTGACGTAAACATCAGTTTTCATAGAAAAGGATGTTTTTAGTAGGTTGTTTCTTTGTAGGCTAGTTTGGAATTTTAATAGCACTGTTTTTTTACCCGCTTGGTAGCCCATCAGTTTGCAATCCTTTAGGTCATCACTACGTATGTTAAGGCGAAGGTGGTCCTTGATAAGCTGTAGGGTGGTCTCCATGCAGGTTTCTTGGGTAACTGTGGGTGGGAGATGTTTGCTGTTAACTACAACAGCGTCAGATAGCTGTTGTTGGTCATTATGGTCTTGGAAGATGGTTACGACATTGGCAAGTTGTTGGTCCACTCTTGATCTTTCCTCTATAATGTTGGTAGTAAGTAGGGTGACTTGGTCTTTTAGAGTGTTGATGGTGTCTACGGACTGGGTGTGGGTGTTGCTTTGTTGTTCCAGAGTGTCTAGTTTATGTTCTAGAGCGGTGATCTTGCTGAGGTACTGTGCACTGGAAGCTTTTAGTTCCTGCATTTCCTGGGTTAGTTTGGTGATTATGTGGTTCTGAATCATAAGGAGTTTAGCTATTTCTGGATCGGTAATCTTCTTAACATCAAATCCAAGGAAGGAGTTATCTTGGACTGTGGTGGTGGCCATGTTTGTTGTTGTCTGTCGTGTGTTGTGGTGGTGCCGGTGGGTGATGAGGGTTGTGTCCTGGCTGGCAGTACGAGAAGTTTTCCTCGTGATATTACTGGTCTCACCTTTGATGTTAGGGGTCCTTAGCTGGTTACTGGATCTTCTTTTAATACTCTGACCCTTGTCCATTGACTGCGGCTTCGGATGAATAGTAGGCGATGGGTGATGGGTGAATGTTGTGGTATATCACTTCAGTGGCAGCGAGGCAGGAGGTGGTAATATGAGTCCTATTAGTTGGTAATTTGTGTACTTTTGAGTGATTTCTGCAGTTGATTTATATCATTCTGGGTATCCACACATGTTAGTGTTATGTGGGTCTTGATTAGGCCATCACAGGGCTGCTGGGAACCTCAGGTAGAAGTAAAAATAGAGGACAAGGTTCCTGTTGCCGCTTGCCGCTGCCGCTACAAGAATAGACTGATGCAGTGGTCGGAGAAATGGCAGATGCAGTTTAATGTAGACAGATGCAAAGTTCTAAATGTTGGACAGGAAAATAACCATGTCACATATAAACTAAATAATGTAGATCTTAATATTACGGATTGCGAAAAGGATTTAGGAGCTCTGGTTAGCAGTAATCTGAAACCAAGACAACAGTGCATAAGTGTTTGCAATAAAGCTAACAGAATCTTTGGTTTCATAGCAAGAAGTATAAATAATAGAAGTCCTCAGGTTGTTCTTCAACTCTATACAGTGGACCCCTGGCATACGATATTAATCCGTTCCTGAGAGCTCATCGTATGCCGAAATTATAGAAAGGCGAATTAATTTTCTCCATAAGAAATAATGGAAATCAAAGTAATCTGTGCAAGACACCCAAAAGCATAAAAAAAAAAAGTTTTACCACATGAAATATTAAGTTTAATGCACACAAATTGAAGAAGACATGCACAGTTAGTAGTACTCTACTAACAGTAGAATACATGACACTTACCTTTAATGAAGATCTGGTGATGATTGATGGGATGGGAGGAGGGGAGAGTGCCAAACTTATTGTTTAGAAGGGGAATCCCCTTCCAATAGGACTTGAGGTATCAAGTCCTTTTCCGGGGTTACTTCCCTTCTTCTTTTAATGCCACTAGGACCAGCTTGAGAGTCAATGGACCTCTGTCGCACAACATATCTGTCCATAGAGCTATGTACCTCTCGTTCCTTTATGATTTGTCTGAAGTGGTTCACAACATTGTCATTGTAATAGTCACCAGCACGGCTTGCAATAGCTGTGTGAGGGTGATTTTCATCCATAAAGGTTTGCACTTCAAGCCACTTTGCACACATTTCCTTCATCTCTTTTTTCAATTCCATACTAATTCTCACCCTTTTTACCACAGGGATGGCACTAGAAGCTTTCTTGGGGTCCATGGTGACTTATTTTGTAGTTACAAGCACTAAAAACACTGGGATAATGTGAAATGTACCGAATGTATGCGTAGATGCGACCGCACTGGCTGGCTTGTGAACACTGACGCTGAGGCCACACGTGGGACGCGATGCGTCCTGGACGCGTGAGGCGAGGCAAAATTTTTGCGTTAAAATGTACCGTATGCCGGATTTAATGTAACGCGATGCCATCATATGCCGGGGGTCCACTGTATATCTTTGGTTAGGCCTCATTTAGATTATGCTGCACAGTTCTGGTCATCGTATTACAGAATGGATATAAATGCACTGGAAAATGTACAAAGGAGGATGACAAATTTGATCCTATGTATCGGAAATCTTCCCTATGAGGATAGACTGAGGGCCCTGAATCTGCACTCTCTAGAAAGGCATAGAATCAGGGGGTATATGACTGAGGTGTATAAATGGAAAACAGGAATTAATAAAGGGGATGTAAATAGCGAGCCAAAAATATCTAACATAGACAGGACTCGCAGCAATGGTTTTAAATTGGAAACATTCAGATTCAGGAAGGATATAGGAAAGCACTGGTTTGGTAATAGAGTTGTGGCTGAGTGGAACAAACTCCCTAGTACCATCATAGAAGCTCGGATGTTGTGTAGTTTTAAAAATAGGCTGGATAAATACATGAGTGGGTGTGGGTGGGTGTGAGTTGAACCTAACTAGCTTGTGCTACTAGGTTGGATGCTGTGGTCCTCCTTTAAGTGACGTGTCTGACCTCACTAGGTCAGTGAGGTCAAACGGTCAGTTAGCTTAAGGTCACTGGGTCAGTGAGCTTAAGCTGGTAAGAGAATTGGACCTGCCTCGCATGGGCCAGTAGGCCTGTTGCAGTGTTCCTTCTTTCTTATGTTTTTAAGTTAAAAGGAACTGTATGCAAATAAGAGTGTGGGTTAAAGAATGGAAAGTTATTTTCTAGTTCAAGTTAGCAAGTATTTTATAACTTTCACAGTGACAAGAACCTTACTTAAAATATGGCAGCCATTATTTTGCCATAAATGAATGTGGAGCCACAATGGTAAACTCTAAAAGCACATGAGATGACAATGCCGAGAAAAGTGCAATTACCTGAGAATGGAAAAAGTAGCAAAATGAACAATGAGTACAAAGCGACAGTAGTCTAATAATGGCATTATAAAATGGTACAGTACTTGAAGAAATTCCCTTTCCTACTACATGATTCCCTGAACCAGAGCACAGAAAGGAGGATACATACAATTTGGAAGGGAAGACCACTGAACACACAAATACTGTGCATTATGAGTCAACAGATAAAAGTGCTATGAAAAATTATGCTAAATGTCGATCATGCAAACTGAAAGTGAAAGAATAAGACATAATACTGAGGAAGCTTATGACAATGTTTCAATCCATGCAGGACCATCATCAAGTTGTTTACGAACTCAGAGTATTTTCTTAAAGAGGATGCAAGAATAAGCACAAAAATAATGAATTAAATCATGTGCAAACTGAATCATTGTGATCATTGTGAAGGATTTTCCCAGTGTGTGAAAAACACTACATGCTACACTTTACACAGTAGTCTAAAGCTCCAGTTAGAAATGTGTAGAATGAGGTGCTCTATGTACTTGTGATGCCAGTAATCCAAACAATTATGCAGACATATTTTCCCTTTACTTACCAGTATTTCTCTCTCTCTCACAGTAGTCTCTCTTTCTGTGTGAATGTCCTCCTGTTTCTGACACAACGTTCTGCAAGATATAAAATATACTTTTTTAACCGAGGGAACTAACTCAGTTTCATTTTCACATATAAATAATAACAAAGAATTTTTTTACAATAGTATTTCCAACGTAAACCAGTTTGGAGTTTTCATAAACTTATAGTCAAACCCAAGAAAATACGTTTCATTCGCTTTCTACACTTTCATTTTGAGTAAATACACTTACATAGTGATACATTATTTCTACCAGGAATTCACTACAGGTACAACATCGATTTTCCGGACATGATGGTCCGGGACCATACAAACTTACAATCAGGAACTTGAAATTCCCACGGCAGTGTATTTAAAACTGTACGTCACTCATCCAACCACAAGACCAAGGAATATTGCGCTCTCTAAAAGCAGAAACATCAGTAATCCAGAGAGGCTTTGGAACCAAAAGTCCAGAAAATCGATGTTGTACCTATATATGAGGTAAAAATGCACCCACATAATTTTAGCAGGCAGATTCTGTGTGCTTTTCACTCTGTGGTCATCAAAGCCAAGCATGTGCCACTTGTTTTTTCAGCAATATATCTTAAAAGAATTATTTTTTATAACCAAAAGGATTATTTTTACAGCCAAAAAGGATTTATAGCCAAAAGGATTATTTTTTATAGCCAAATGCATTCATTCTTTGTATATATTCATTATATTCATGCAAGAAGAGCAGCTCAATTTTGTACTGGTGGATACAGGTCAAGAACCATAGATTTATTATTTACTTTGCGTTAATATATCAGCGGTTGGTGGGCAGGGAAGGACAGAGGAATGGTTAGTAAGATAAGGAGATAGAGGGATGACTGGGGCCCAGAAGGAAGGCCCAGCCCAGTACTGGTGGCAGTGTGGTGGATATGTTCAGCAGTGAGAGATGAGGGACATGCACAACACCCTCCCTCACTCTCGCCATTACCTTCACATCACAAACTACAAATTTCCCTCCCTCCCTCTCATTTTTCATACCACTTCTCTCAACCCCTCCCCTCTCTCTCTCAATCCCTTTCTCTCTCTCAACCCCACCCCTCTTTTTTTTTTTTTTTTTTTTTTTACAAAGGGTTTTACAAGGTTAGGTTAAGGCTTCCTAACTATATTTACAAGCTGAGAGCTGTTACCTACATCTGCTCATTTGAAAGCCTTTTTATTGTTATGAAACATACAAATATGGAACAGGATGAAGTTGGAGCCTTCTGTACGACAGCAATTTCATTTGATCAACTGACTTTATTTCGCTGATATCATTATGCAAAATGAACATGTTCCAGACTCGAGTCATCCTACGAATAAATGATCTCAGATGTAATGATGTCCTGGAGAAGGATAGAGTCAGAGTGAAGTTGCTGCTTGCTGCCCGTCTTGTAGTGTACAAGCCTACTTCTCGCTGTCTTTGGAGTGAAGCCAAGTGTGGTATTTTGATAATATTGGCCTTGTACATAACAGTAAGGCCATCCAGATCCCTCCAGTGTTGAAACCTCTGGTAAATTGGCAGATCTATCCAGGCTGGGTCCAGGCAAAAGATGAAGCGTCTTGCTCTGCTCTCTACTCTGTCAAGCAGTCGTAAATGAGATGGAGGCAAGCAATCCAAGAAAATGGAGTATGCTCAAGGTGTGAGTGTACTTGTGCCTCATATAGAATTTTGCAACCTCTGCTGTCAAGCAGATGCAAGATATGTCAAAGTGCTGTAAGCTTCCTGGCCACTTTGTTTGAAAGATTTACAACATGGTTCTTCATGGTCAGTCTGGAGTCAAATTTCACCCCAAGGATATCAACTTCATCCCCGAGTACCAACACTCTCCCATTCATACTTACTGCTCTGGCATTACCTAGATATCATCATTATTTGTTTTCTCAGGTGCAAGTGTTACAAGCCATCGGTTTCCCCAGGTTGATACAGCTGTAAGCTGGCACTTCCTCTCCTGGATAAGTAAATGTTGGACTACAGTCATCTGTATATGTATGAGATTCTGGGAAGAGACGAAGGAGGTCACTTAAGTAGACATTCCATAACAATGGCCCAAGCACACTCCCTGTGGAACACTTGCCTGAATAGGATGTCTTGCTGACTCTGTAATCACTGAGGAGACAGAGTAGAGCCTGCAATTCCCAGTGTTTGCAGTTTTGCCATGAGTCCCTGGAGCCATATCTGATCGAAAGCACTAGCAATGTCCAGCGCTACTACACAGCTGACTTTGGATTCATCCAGTGTCTGGGGCCACCTAGTGGAGAGGTTTAACAAAAGTTCAGCAGCAGAGTAACCTTTTCTAGAGCCATACTGATGGTCACAAAGTGAATGGTAGTTGAAAAACTCTGTTAACTGCCATGAGATTATTGTCTCAGTGATTGACAGGAGTGACACTGGCCTGTAGTTGTGGATTTCTGCTACTCTTTTTTGTGTAAACAGGGACTACATTTGCCTCTTTCCACAGAGAAGGCCATTTACACTGTGCAAGGCAATGCTGATTAGATGTGAGTTAGAGGTGCTGCTACCTGGTCTGCACATCTCAGTAATCTTGGGCTCAACTTATCTGGATCCATAGCCTTTTCTTGGTCTAGTGATTTAAGAAGATACACCTCCTCCTGCCTTACTGTCACTGTTGACAGCTTCAACATGGCTCCTGCAGCTAAAAAAAGAGGGCCCCTTGCTGGATCAGGAACTTATATCTTAGCAGCAAAGTGTTCAGCAAAGAGTACAGCTTTCTCCTGACTGCTAGCAGAGATATTCCCATCCTGCCAATTTAGATGTGGAATAAGTTCATCAGGCAAATAACCTTGCCTGTCCTTGACCAGGACCACCAGGTTTTGAAGCTCACCCTACCTAATGCCAGGTTTCCTTTTATGTCAGCCTCCCATTTAGAGATGGCCCACTTTTGGACTTTGCCCATATGCCTACAGGCTTGCCTGTACAGGTACCTCTTATAAATAGTGGGATGCCTCTTATACCTTCTCCAAGCCTTGTACTTAGCAGCAGCAGCCTCTCTACAATGAAAGCTGAAGAAAGGCTGATCTGTAGGCTTCATCACATACTGCCAGTGAGGGATTTGTTCTTATTGGAGATTAACCTGTAAACGGTCCAAGCAGATCTACGCTCATATGTGTAGTGCTCCAAAAGTAGATCTACGTTTTTTTTACATATTTTCAAATATAACAAAAAAAAAAGTAGATCAAAGTTTCTTTACACATTTTCAAATGTAAAAATAAAAAAAGAAGATCTACTTTTTTTATATACTTTCAAATGTTGAAAAAACATATATAAACGTTTGGACCGTTTACGGGTTAAGGATGTGTCCAGTGAAGGCATTTACTTGGTTGTCAACATCACCTTTGAAAAGAGCATTCCAATCAGAGGTGGCGAGCTCAGAGCAAATGGCTGGCCAGTTTCCCCTTTCACAGGTTGTACATGTAGATTTTTCACTCATTCTGTTGGGATCTTCAGTGCTGTAAAGACAGCCTTGTAGTCAGATGATCCAACATAACCGAGGGGTTGGCAAGTGACTGTGCCTTCCGACAGATCTGTTGGAAGTGATCTATCACTCACTACTGAGTTGAGAGAGGAATCAGAGGTATGTGAATAGGGAAATCAACAAAGTTTCTCATGTCAAACACTGCAAGAAGGTCATCAAAGTCCCTCTGCACAATATGTTGGTTGAGGTCACCAACAATTATATGTTGACATTTGTGTTGAAGCAGAAAGGACTTCACATTTTTCATCAGGAAAGGGTCTGCATGTTGCCACTGAGATCTGTACATCACAAATGCTAGTACAGAGGTACTAGTGTTTATAAATAGCTTGAAGAACATAATTTCTAAGTGAGTAATGATGGCAACATCAACGAGCTAGGCATGTACACTTTTAGAGAAGCACACAGCAACACCTCCCCTTGCCCTTGCCTGTCTCTTCTCATCCATGAGGTGTAGCCAGCAATTCTTGCAAAATTTTCTGGAGTCCTGTCATCCAAAAATGTTTCAACAACAGCAATCATGTTGAAACGTCGAGTGTTCATGAAACTGTGCATGAGCTCTCCATCATTGGTGATAAATTCTCTAATGTTGACTGATAGTATGCTCTCAAAATCCCCCTCTTTCTCTCTCTTCCAACCCCCTCTTTCTCTCTCAACCCCTTTCTCTGTCTCGCTCTCTCTCTCTCTCTCTCTCTCTCTCTGTCTCTCTTAAACCCCCTCTCAAACCATTTCTAAAACAGGCACTATGTACCTAAATACTGTAGTTAAATCATTTGGAAATATAGTAGGGCCCCGCTTTATGGCGTTTCGCCTTACGGCGTTCTGCTAATATGGGGATGTCAAATTATGACTAAAATTTGCTATACGGCAAGCAGTCTTTCAAATACGGCGCACCCCACCCGGTTTGTTTACATTCTCCATGACCATATCAATTATGTGAGGAAACTTTCCAAAATTTCAAGCGTTTTAAAGTTACTGCGTGTTTTATATGAATAGTACTCTGATAATTATACTTATGTGTACCTGTACCTAAGTATACTTACACACTGTGCAGGTGTGCAGGTACACATTAAAATTGCTAAGAGTCTCTCTACTTATGACGCCAATACTACGTAATAATAATCACTCTTGGGCACACTAAATGTCTTATTTTACATTAATACAGTGGAACCTCAAATTTCGAACTTAATCCGTTCCAGGAGCTAGTTCTAAATTCGAAAAGTCTGAAATTCAAAGCAATATTTCCCATTAGAAATAATGGAAATACAATTAATCCGTTCCAGAAACCCAAAAAATTCACAAAAAAATACATTTTATAGAGATTAATTACAGTTTTACATACACACAACAAATGCTATAGTCTTTAAACCTTTGAGGGTTTTCGTCGTACTAGTACGTCTTACGCGTAGGGGTTTTTGACGTACTAGTACTCATAAATTCTAGCGGCCTCAAATCTAGTGGGAGAAAGCTGGTAGGCCTTCATATGAAGGAATGGGTCTATGTGGTCAGTGTGCACAGTCTAAAAAAAATC